ATAAATAAATAAATAAAAAAGAGACAAAAGAAAGTTTTCTAATTGTAACCTAAAGGTGGTCAATGTCTAGGTCAATGAAGGTTCTTCTACATATTTGTTGATTTATTTCACCTTGTAGGGTCCCTCTGGGGAGCGTGGTGGTCCCGGCCCCGCAGGGCCCAGAGGAGCTCCTGGAGAACCTGGCCGAGATGGTGTCCCTGGAGGTCCAGGAATGAGGGTACCAAGAAACGCTTGCTTGACACTGCCATTTAGTAAGAAGAAGGGCAAATAAAAGAGGATCAAAGACAACTCAAAGCAGACTATAATTTTACAGCCTCAAAACAAAACAAAATACTCTTAAGATAACTTAAGATTAGAATTGATTGAAGAAAAACAGAATACTTGACTGAGACATAGACAGGAAAATGTGTGCAAATAAAAGGCTACCTATGAAATCTCAAAATTTTACAGATACATATATATATTTAATTATCATTTTAAATCACCTGACTGACTGACCTTTTCAATTTAGGGTATGCCCGGAAGCCCAGGAGGGCCAGGCAGCGATGGAAAACCAGGGCCTCCCGTATGTACATTTTTAACATCTCATTTTATAGCCCAGTAAATAATGGAATGCATAGTTTGGCCTAACATTGATGCATATTATAGAGCCTTGATATATATATACACACACACACACACACTCACACACACATATATACATATATGTGTATATATACATATATATTGCATATTTTGATGAGATCTTTATCAAACCCTTGTTAATGTAATTTTTTTTCTCATTAGGGAAGTCAAGGAGAAAGTGGTCGACCAGGTCCTCCAGGCCCATCTGGTCCCCGAGGTCAGCCTGGTGTCATGGGTTTCCCTGGTCCTAAAGGAAATGATGTGAGTTCCTTCCTTTATTTCTTCAATAAATATTTGACAGAAGGCTTTTCTTTTCCATATGGGAGTTCAGAGACGGCCAAAATTTGATCTCTATTTCAAAGCACAGTAGAATATATGAAAATCAAAATACCATGTGAGACAGGGAGTATTTGTTGTTGTTGTTTGGGTTTTTTGGGTTTTTGTTTTTTTGGGGGGGGAGTTCTGGGGAAAGAGTGGCAAACTTTATGAAAAACTAGTTCTAGAAAGTAGTTTTGGGTTGTGGATGCATGTATGTGTGTGTGGAAGAGGCAGATCAAAACTATCAGGGAATAAGACACTGAATGATTTCCTTTTGAGAATTAGTAAATACTGGCTACTTCTTTAGGGTGCACCTGGCAAGAATGGAGAACGAGGTGGCCCTGGAGGTCCTGGCCCTCAGGTACACAGTTTTCATTAACTTATTTCCAGCTTTCTATAGATGCATTCATTTCTGGCCTATGGCTTCTATTATCTCCGTTATCTCTGTTTCCCTAACTGCTTTTGTTTTTTTTAGGGTCCTGCTGGAAAGAATGGTGAAACTGGACCTCAGGGTCCCCCAGGACCTACTGTAAGTTTGCTCACATAACTTGGAGATGGAAGTCAGCGGGAGTGGGGCAGAGGAAAGACTTTGGGAATCGTAGCATAGTTCACCAAAGTGGTTTTGAAGCTTGGTTACTTAGCTAGCTAAGTGCTGACTAGCTAGAAGTAAAGATTATATTGTCCATGTCTCCATTGCATCAGTTCTGTAGGCCAAACTCTGCCCTCCTTCACACCATTAAGTTTTCCACTAAGCAATGAGCCTGTTGAAATGAAAACTGTGTGGACTAAATATGAAAGGATATTTTATAACAGAACATCTCATTATATTTTTCTACATTAGGGGCCAGGTGGTGACAAAGGAGATCCAGGACCCCCTGGTCCACAAGGATTGCAAGTAAGAACTTCTTATTTAAATATCACTGGGTTTCTGCTTCTACTAGACAATTCAGTCTTACCCTTGAGAGTTGTATTTGTTGAGCTAATTGAGTTCAATTTTTTTGTGACACTACTAAATTATAATTAATCTTAAGCTTAGAATTTGTGGGTCTGTCTTCCACCTTGAAATAAAAATGACATTCTATTCCAGAATGAGTGCGTTAGTCATTTTTTTAATTAAGCATGCAAAATTTTTTATGCTTATACGTATTTTTATTATAATATAAATCCACATAGCTAAATCCATTTTACCATATTCATCGATTTATTTTTATATACAGCAACAGAAAAACTAGAGGAAGAAAAACATTAAGTTTGGAAGATATGATTGTCACATCTCTGTCACTGGATTTTGAGAGCCACAAATTTTCTAGCCTTAAAAAGACTGCTAGGACCAGTTTGAATACCTTGCAGAAACATACATGTGAGAAGCTTTTCTGTAAGCAGTGTTTGAAGTGATTACACAATACAAATATGACTTTTTGTAGGGTTTGCCTGGAACCAGTGGACCTCCAGGAGAAAATGGAAAACCTGGTGAACCAGTAAGTTGCATGCCCTTTTTTAAAAAAAAACTCAGAAACCAAAAGAATAAATCGTAATCATTTATCGGTTATTAACTTTTGCATTTTCTCATGCATGGTTTCTGAGTTTTAGCGTTTAGTTTTTAAATATTCAATAACAAAACAGAGAAAAATTATTCAATCATAGGTATTACATAGAAAGTTTCAATTTTACCATAAAATAAAGAGTACATAGCTCGAGATTTAACAAATTGTACAAAATGCAAGGAAGTCAAATGTGTTATTTTGCTTATATTCCCATAACATGCATTCTGATAGAGGCCTAATCATATAATGCCAATCTTCTAGGGTCCAAAGGGTGAATCTGGTTCACCTGGAACTCCAGGAGGCAAGGTAAATATTTCCGTTTATTTTCTAATTTCAACATCTTAGAGAGCAATTGACTAGTGATTCAGTTTTAGTATATCAAACCAAAATTGTCTTTCTTTAGAAGCACAACATTGCAACTATTTGGTGAATACACTTAAGGTAACCCAAGACATTTTAGTAGATAAGATGTGCTTCATCTGGAAGATCACATCTTCTGACATGCAACAATACTACAGAAACAACTATGGGCCTGAGATTGCAAAAGACAAATCTTTCTAGGGCATTGATTCTGCATAGGAAAACTGTGTTGGTAGAAAAACTAAAAAAAAAAAAAGAAAAGAAAGAAAGCCCTCGTGAATAAAATAATAACAACAGTGTCAGAGGCAGCTCATCACACCAGGTATCAGAGTTTCCTCCTTTACACTGACTCTTTTTCAGTTTCCATCTCACTCCGTTGATCAAATGTCTTTTATAACTACCATTTCCAAATTGTTCAAAAATATAAGTTCCCCCATTGACCTGCATCAAAATGAATACAACTTAGCGTGGTTTTGTTTTGTTTTCAGCCTTGGGTTGGCTAACAGGGCTATTCCATATTCCTACCCCCAGGGTGATTCGGGAGCCCCGGGTGAACGAGGACCTCCCGGAGCTGTGGGGCCCGCGGGACCGAGAGGTGGAGCCGGCCCCCCTGGTCCCGAAGGAGGAAAGGTAACTCCGCACGATTCAGTTCACCTAGATTTTACAAAATGCACTCCATTTCCTTCTGGAGGTTTACTATTTGTCCTTTAACTTCAGGGCGCTGCTGGACCCCCTGGGCCACCTGGGTCTGCTGGGACTCCTGGTCTGCAAGGGATGCCTGGGGAAAGAGGAGGTCCTGGAGGTCTCGGGCCAAAGGGTGACAAGGTACCAACTGCTGTGCTGTTCATTCTAGCATAAAACCAACTTCATAGGTTAAAGGCAAGAAGCGCTGATGCGGGGGCCTCTGGGTGGCTTAGTGGCTAAGCGTCTGCCTTCGGCTCAGGTCATGGTCCCAGGGTCCTGGGATCGAGCCCCGCATGGGGCTCCCCGCTCCGCGGGAAGCCTGCTTCTCCCTCTCCCACTCCCCCTGCTTGTGCTGCCCTCTCTCGCTGTGTCTCTCTCTGTCAAATAAATAAAAAACAAAAAAACGCGCTGCTTAATGTTACCATTTTACAGGAAGTGAAATTTGAGATGTATTGCTAGAGGAACTATTAATGAGAACATCTACTACCTACCCATCACAGCACATCTTGAGGGTTGCTCTTCTTCTTGGCAGTCTCACTGAGGATGCTTCTAATCTGATGACTCTGGCTTTTGTTTGACAGGGCGAACCAGGCAGCGCAGGGGTGGATGGTGCTCCAGGGAAAGACGGGCCGCGGGTGAGTTCCCACTGGGGAAAAACAGGACTTACCTCTCTGTGAGGTGGAAGAGTTCCTCATCTCAACTTCTATTGTTCTAAAAACTCATCATGATTACTTAGACCATGTTTTGCCATTTTCTGACCATTAAGAAGACCCAAATGACTTGTTAAAATTCCTGCTTTATATCTATCGTTACCTGATGGTTCAACAGTGATGTGAGCATAGAAAAAACCCTCAAAAAAAAAAAAGAAAAAGAAAAAGAAAAAAACCCTCAAAAGTATGATAAAGGTTACAAACTAAATTCATAATGAGTCACTAAAATCCAAGATAATCAATGCTATGTTTATATACTCTGTTTGATTAATAGGAAAGAGGATGCTTTTTATCTCTAAAATTAAAAACGCATTTCTATTTTCTTTAGGGTCCTACTGGTCCCATTGGTCCCCCTGGCCCAGCTGGTCAGCCTGGAGATAAGGTAACACTTAATATTACTTAGAAACAACAAGAAAATATCCCTCGTTTTTTGGATGCAGGGCAATATTTTTTTCCTCTTTTTTCAGGGTGAAGGTGGTGCCCCTGGACTTCCGGGTATAGCTGGTCCTCGTGGTGGCCCTGTAAGTGTTAAAGTCATCTTCAGTGTGCTTTTTAACGCCACCTGGGCAGCGGCTATCCCTGCTTCCTTGTTTAGCAATTCTGCCCCCCAGGCCCCAAGTCTCAATGGCAGGATGCCGTTTTCAGGAATCCTATGACATGCAAAGGAAGGTCAAAGTTCTTAAATCTAAAATTCACAAAAGACCCTTTTAAATCACGCCTTCTCCCCTAAATAATTCTGGAAAAAATTTTTAAAAGGCACAAATAATATACATTTATAAATAATATTTCTTAAACCTTCAGGATCTTTGCCTGAGGCACCTTCTAGATCTAAAATTTTCTACCTTCAGGGTTTGCAACTCAGGACAGATACATAATAAATGGTCCTACTTAATTAATTGATTGATTTCTCAATTAACCCTTTTAGTATATTTTTAAATGCTTACATTTTTTAGAAGTCATATGATTGCATGTGTTAAACACTTCAAAATTCTCAGATTTATTTTTCTTGTAAATAATATCACAATCAGAGGCAGAAAGAACCAAAGGTTCTGGTGTTGTCCACTCCTGATTTTGTTGAGAAGTGGAAGAGTCTTCACAAGTTTCACCGTGTTGGTTAGCTTTGCATACTTCCTGCCAAAAGAAAGATAAGATGATGTAGAGGATGATATATCATTGTCCCTGTGGGAAGGTGTCTTCACCATGACCAACCGTGACCAATGAGAATGTTTTTCACTTCAGGGTGAGAGAGGCGAACACGGGCCTCCAGGACCTGCTGGCTTCCCTGGTGCTCCTGTAAGTATGAATACACAGCCCAGAAGCACTCTCTTGCTGAAAAACAGACGTTTGAATCCGGATTCTAGTCAAGCCTCAGCAGCTCATTCCCTATAGGGTGACTTTACCCACCCCTCCCTTTTTTTTCTGTTTTTTTGTTTTGTTGTGTTTTGTGTTTTGTTTTTTACTTCACTCTTACTCTTTAAAAGATGGAGATAAAAACACTTGACTTGCCTTTATGCTTCATTAATGAGACTCACATGATACCCTAGATTTTAAAACACTCTGAAAATTTAAAAAGTTATTCCATTGTAAGATGATACTAATTAAAAGTTGCTCTAGGCCTTATCTTTCTCCAGTGAATTTACTGGTGCTCATTTTCAAAGAACAATCCTTGGAGATGCTTTCTCCCTTAGGACAAATAACATCCATTTTAACATTTTCTTGATAGTTTTCTTTTATCATGAAAGCATTTTGATTCACTTTGGTTTGGCCTATCTTCAGAGAACCTCCTTTTCCAATTTTATTTCAACATCTTGCCACCTGAAGAATTCTATTTTCTGAAGAAAGAGTCTGATAGGCCAAGTGTATTGGGAAGGACGTCAGCTCACAGGTCGTTGTCATTTCTGAATGTAGGGACAGAATGGTGAGCCTGGTGCTAAAGGAGAAAGAGGTGCTCCTGGTGAGAAAGGTGAAGGAGGGCCCCCTGGCATCGCAGGACCCCCTGGGGGTGCTGGGCCTGCTGTGAGTATTCTCTTTCATTCAGTTTTCAAATGGAAAGCACTTTGGTGTATCCATAGTCCAAGACTTCATACTGAGAGAGCCTGTCAAGGTGATAAGAGTATCATCTTCCTAGGAGTACAGTTCTGACTTTGAAGCTTGGCTCTAATAGTCTAGATATGACCCCAATCAAGTTGTTCTAACCACTTCCTACCCAGAGTTACTGTTTTGTTGATTTTTGTTTGTTTGTTCATTTGTAGGTCTGTTGTAGTTTTTCTCCCCCAGTTTTATTAAGATACAATTGACATATAACGTTGTACAAGTTTAAGGTGTACGACATAACGATTTGATATATGTATATGTTGCAAAATGATTATCACAATAAGTAGAATTCCTGTTTTTCAAAGGCTGAATGCTTCTTTCAAATTTTGAGTGTGGTGGAATTCTGATGAACCATTACTACCTCCATTCCATATAGGGTCCCCCTGGTCCCCAGGGCGTCAAAGGTGAACGCGGCAGTCCTGGTGGTCCTGTAAGTATTCACTCTCTTAACTAGTATTTTCTAAACTGTGATTCAAAAGCAGTAATTAATACCAATCTGTATAAAAACTGCCTTGAAATCACTAGATCCTGAAAGAGAGTATAAAAACTATAATCCCTTAATTATATGTTATATGTAAATTCTAAAAGGAAAAAAAAAAACAAACCATAAATGATCCCAGGGTAGAATGCAGATCACATTTCTTATCCTTTATATTTGTTTTTAGTAGTTTATTATTCATTCTGCTTCACTTTTGAAATTCAAAAATATATTATCATTTCCCAGGGTTCTGCTGGCTTCCCTGGTGCTCGTGGTCTTCCTGGTCCTCCTGGTAATAATGTAAGTATTTTTTCTAAAAATATTTTTTCTTTATTCCATAAAGAACATTCATATATGCATAGGAGGAGAAACTTACCCATTGCTACTTTTCTCTGTGATTAAATCCCATCTAAAATGCAGGTAAAAGAGGGAAGAAATATTCACTTTTCAGTATAAAACACTCCAATTTCAAAAAATGTCTTTGTAGGGTAACCCAGGCCCCCCGGGCCCCAGCGGTGCTCCAGGCAAGGACGGGGCCACCGGTCCACCTGGTAACAATGGTGCTCCCGGCAACCCTGGAGTGTCTGGACCTAAAGGTGATGCTGGCCAACCCGGCGAGAAGGGATCCCCCGGCTCCCAGGGCCCCCCGGTGAGTGGCTATGGTGCCCTATGGGTTGACAATACTCTTTTGTTTTGAATTATGAATTCCACAGAGGAAAACCTAATCACAGAGAGAAGAACTAAGGCTTTCTTATTTGTTCAACAGGGACCTCCAGGCCCACTGGGAAGTGTCGGGATTACCGGAGCCAGGGGTCTCGCGGGACCACCGGGCATCCCGGGTCCTAGGGGAAGCCCAGGCCCACAGGGTGTCAAGGTGAGTGTGGCCATTTTGCCCTGGACTCTGGTTTCCTCTGATAGCCTTCGGAGATCACTTAACCATAGCAAGCGTGTCATGAACAAATTTTCCTGTAAAAGATGCAAATTCTTGATATGTTCAGATTTTCAGGAAGCATGCATATTATCAAAAGGCTGCCGAACACAAAAACAATGCACATCATAGGGCAGCCTTGAACATAAACACTAAGAAATTGATAACACAGAAAATATCTTGCCACCTTAAGTACCTCCGTTAGGAGATGTGTGAGCATTCTTTACTTTGTTGACTGTCAGTTTTGAAGAGGAAAATAGTCAGTTTATAGACCTGTGAAAGCCTTTAATTAATACCAGTTTTCCATCAACTCAATTTGTTTCACACTTCTAATTTTCTTTCCCTAATATTACTGTAACATCCTAGCATCTTATCCTTATTTGTCTTAAATATCCATTTACCAAAAGGGGTAATAAAATTCTGTATTACTAGGGCTCACATTTTGACACTTTGAGCACCTCTTTAAACAAAATGTCATATAATATTGTAATGAAATGAAGATATAACATTTAAGCATATTCAATTTATATGAACATATCTGGTAAATGTATATTTTTTAGATAGAGCCAGATGTCCAATATAAACTAATTCTGATGGTCGCCACAAACCTATAATTTCATGATGGTTAATCATTATTTTTTTCTCACAATGGCCATGTCTTATTTATATATCTCATATTAGAATGTATTCTAAATAATATAATCATTGTCATTACTTAGCTTTTTGGTATCCAGAGTCACTGGGAAAGTTGGAAAATACAAGAAACTTGCTCTTCCTCAAGGATAGGGATAGTTTTAGGAACAAATTCAATAGAATTTTTAATAAAACAAAGTTTTTCCTTGAAAAATAAGAACATCTCATAACATATTGATTGCTAAGATAAAATAAGTTAAAAAATAGTTTAAAAAATTTTTAAAGTTAAAAAAAGGTAAAATAAGTTAAAATAAAATGTCTTTTATTTCTTTATGCACAGGGTGAAAGTGGGAAACCAGGAGCTGCTGGTCACAATGGAGAACGCGGTCCTCCTGGACCCCAGGGTCTTCCTGGTCTGGCTGGTACAGCTGGTGAACCTGGAAGAGACGTAAGTACTAGTTCTTAGGAAATATCCAATTGTCCTGGTAGTGTTTGGTAACGTATTTAAGCAAGGGTCAAATTGTGCCTTAATGTCTAAGAGTGTAAATATTGTCACATGCCAAAGTTCTCCTTCTTTTTTTAATAAGATATCCCTTCTATTACAATTTAGAATAATCTTAAATGTTCATGTTCATTAATATTTACCCAATGAATGATCATTAATGGAGAAGAATATGAATGCTAGCTAAATAAAGACACAAGTTGGGGATGGGGAATGCCCCAATTTATAGCATTCCTCCTGCATGAAAATGTGCTGCATGTTATTTGTGATTAAGTCTTTTCTTAAATTGTAGATTTCTATTATCAGCTTAAATTACTGTTTCTTAAGCTTTTATTTGTTATCTCTTTCCAAAGAATTTTTTTAGATATTTTTCTTTCCTAATCACTTCTCCCTCTCTCACCTGTGAAATTTTAGTGCCATAGGTATACTGCTTATCTATTTAGGTATGACCCTTTAAAGGGCCACAGCTGTTGTAATATCTAAGATTTTTTTAGTCCTAAGAACCAATTTTTATCCTCTTTAGGATGCTATTGCTACCATTGAGAATACATGGCTTAGCTTGTATTTGAATGGTTCGAAAGAGTTTGATTTCTTTTCTCCTTGTTTTTTTAATCAGGGAAACCCAGGATCGGATGGTCTTCCAGGCCGAGATGGAGCTCCCGGTGGCAAGGTATAATGAACATAGATGCAGTGGGTTTGTGTACTTAAAGTAATAACTGCTGATCATATTTATGTTGGATCTGTGAATTTGTTCTCAGGGTGATCGTGGAGAAAATGGTTCCCCTGGTGCCCCCGGTGCTCCTGGTCATCCAGGCCCCCCTGGTCCCATTGGTCCAGCTGGAAAGAGTGGTGACAGAGGAGAAACTGTGAGTTTTTCTTTGCTTACCTATTTTCCTCAGTAAAGGGATTAGTAGGTGGAAGATACGATGTCCGATCTGAGAACCAAATGATCTACTATCATTTCTTTTCGTTTTTATGCTACTCTTTCCTTAGGCAACTGGGGTAAAAAAGGTATCTGCTAAGTTTCTGGCAGTAGTTAATGAAGAATTCGTTACTAAATTCAAAGCAGCATTAATCAGTCTAAGTGTATATTCACTGGGTAAATGCAAGGCTGAATTAGCAAGACTCTCTCAGCTTTCCTGCTTAGACCCCTTGGTAAAGATATAAACAGAGAAAGCACTTTGAAGGAGAAAATGGCACTAACTTTTAATAATCGTGTGCATACTATTAGTCCATCACAGTGAAGTTAACTTCTAAATAAAACAAAGCTTTATCAATAAATAAACAATTCCCTGTGTGTCTGTTTTTATTTCAGGGCCCCGCTGGCCCTTCTGGTGCTCCGGGTCCTGCTGGTTCCCGAGGTCCTCCTGTGAGTTGTTTTTTAACTCATTCTAGAGTCTAAGAAATGTTCTACTTTCTGGCATGTTCAGGAAAAGGGGATGACAACATACACAACTATGGAACAGAATTTTAACTTTCTTTTGATGATACAGAAGGCAATTCAGGATCTAAAATTCCTTGGGGCCAAGGACCTTTGCAGCAACTACTGGGGTTTCGTGCACTTATCAGTCCAAAATCAAAACTACAAGAACAATCTTCAGTGTTGCATGTATGCAGTGTCCGTGGGATTTCTAGCTAATAGAATGTCATGGACTGGATTTAGTTGCTATCAATTTTATTTTGTTTTACCAATATGTATGTGTGTTTATGACCTTAATTTGAAATGTGTCTGTAAAGGGTCCCCAAGGTCCACGTGGTGACAAAGGTGAAACAGGTGAACGTGGTTCTAGTGGCATCAAAGGACATCGAGGATTCCCTGGTAATCCAGGTGCTCCGGGTTCTCCAGTAAGTGCATCCGCTTTGTTAGAAAACCCCCTTTGGTGCATGTTAAGTGATGAGCTAGGCAACTCTGGGAGACCAAAAGTAGAAAAGTGCTCATCTTTAAAAGTTTATGTTAAAAGAGATGAGACATGGATTCGAGGGCTTGGTTGAAATAGTAGTTGGCATGAGGCAATGGGGAGATTAAAAAAAAGGCAATCATATTCCATCATGACCCCCATGTTTCTTGATTTGATCTTGAATGTACAGTTTCCCAAATCTTTGAGAAGTCTTCCTTCATATTTACCCTTCTTTTCCTCTCAGGGTCCTGCTGGTCACCAAGGTGCCGTTGGTAGCCCAGGACCTGCAGGCCCGCGAGTAAGTGGCATAGAAAGATACTGGAAGATCCATATTTTTCAGATATTCTAGCAGGAAGATATCCTAGCATTGTGATATCATGATCATTTTTTAGGGACCTGTTGGACCCAGTGGGCCCCCAGGCAAAGATGGCACGAGCGGACATCCGGGTCCCATTGGACCGCCAGGGCCTCGAGGGAACAGAGGTGAAAGAGGGTCTGAGGTAAGACTGCACTCACAAATATCCGGGTTTAATTTGCTACAGTCTTCAGGTTTCAGAAACGCTTTGTAAGATTTGGAAGCTAGATAGTGAGTTCAATACAATAGAAGCACCCAACTTAACTTAGAAAATCAACAATGACTTTTAGATATTCTCTACCTTTTCGCCATCACACTATAACAACAAGAGAGGAAAAAAACAAAAACAAACCTTTTTTACCGTTTGATCAGAGAGCAGTCATTATCAGAACAAAGACAAAAGCCCAATTAGCCCAATGAACTCCGCAGGCATTGATCTCACGCTGGAGATCGCACAATTGTGACCATCGTAATGAATGGCAAGCACGTGGCCCATCTTCTCAAACAGCTTCCATGATTCCTGTTTTCCTACCAATGCCATCATTCCCAATACCTTCCTATCCCACGTCTTTGGCATAAACGGAATAAAAACCATTATCCCCATGAGTTACAAATTTGATAACTGAACACAAATAGTAATCAGCCCAAAGACACAAAGTTAATGACAAATCTGGGATCAGAATCTAGGTTTCCTGATCAGATTCCCTCTGGCATGTCAGAGTTAGAAGTGTTTACATAATTTATTCAGAAGGAAACATGATGGGGTAAAATTTGTGCTCTCACTCCACTGGTTTGTACCCAGGGGAACACAATAAATTTCATGGCAACAAATTTATTATCATTGGTTATCATTTGACCACAAAACAACTCAAGTAAACCTTTCTTAAAATAATTATGTTGACATACTGGTTGTTTCTAATGCATTGTATTGACCCAGCAACATATTCTTTCAGCAAAGAGCAAGTACACCTCCATGATGCCTGTTCTTACCCATCCTAGGGCTCCCCAGGCCACCCAGGACAACCGGGCCCTCCTGGACCTCCTGGTGCTCCTGGTCCGTGCTGTGGTGGGGGCGCTGCTGCCATGGGTTCTCTCGGAGGGGCTGAAAAAGCTGGTGGTTTTGCCCCATATTATGGAGATGAACCGATGGATTTCAAAATCAACACCGAGGAGATTATGACTTCACTCAAATCGGTCAACGGACAACTAGAAAGCCTCCTCAGTCCTGATGGGTCCCGTAAACACCCTGCTCGGAACTGCCGAGACCTGAAATTTTGCCATCCTGAACTCAAGAGCGGTATGTGGGGAGTCTTTCAGGCTCATGGCAACAAGATTACAGAGAAAGCTGCTTAGATGAGAATTGGGGGAAGAGAAAAGTTTCACTGTGAATAGAAAATATTTTATAGCAGAAATAGTACTTAAAGAATGTTGGTTGAATTGAAACTGCTTGATACTTTCAGAAAGTATACACTGCAGGTATCCTTAAGATGGAACATAAATAATCCAAATATTCCAAATGTAGGAAAATTTCAAGGTAGTCTTGTAGAAATTTTAATATAAGTCATAGTTTGGGATGTTTCTGCATATCAGTCTAAAGTTGTTTGAGTGATAAAGCAACATAGATCACTGTGTTTTCAGGACAAAATTTATATAACTGGATACAGACATAATTTGCAACTTAACTTTTGCAATCTTTATTTAATGAGATTAATTTTTGCGATAAATCTAATTATTAGCTTTTTCATATTAAGAAACAGTTAAATGAAACATCCCAGACTTATATAAAATTAAATCAAATACCGTAATACTGTAAGATTTTACATATATTGGGTTAATTCTTTCTGAAAGGCAAAAATTATTTCAGGCTTTCAGATACCTTGACATGGAACATTGCCTTTGTTAGGAGTCATTTCTGAAAATTACTTAAGAAAGAGAACAACATCAGTCACAGGGACTTTGGGTTAAACTTACTGGCATAAATCTAGATTAGACAGAAAGCTTACATTATTTAGCAAAACCACATTAAACAGATAATCGTCTTAAAAAGAGGGAGAGATTTCAATCAATACAATACACCAATCAAAATGTCTTGGCTAAGTATATCATCATTGTTCCATATCAAGAAGCTATATTTTACTTCATGCTTTCTAATTATTATACCTAACGCTTTTTAATCTCCACAATTTCAATAAAAAGTTTCTGTATTATACTGTACTATAAAATACAAGTAAATTAACAAACAACATTATGAATGCTTTACCAGGTAAACAAACAAAATCATTCTGGCCGCAACTTCACTACTGGATTTTGTAACCGATTCCCATTATTCTCTTTTGTGACTATTCAGGAGAATATTGGGTTGACCCTAACCAAGGTTGCAAGTTGGACGCTATTAAAGTATTTTGCAATATGGAAACTGGGGAAACGTGCATAAATGCCAGTCCTTGGACTGTTCCACGTAAGAACTGGTGGACAGATTCTAGTGCTGAGAAGAAAAATGTTTGGTTTGGAGAATCTATGGATGGTGGTTTTCAGGTAATAATGGATATACCGTTTTTTAACTAAGTCATTCCTACTTACCTAACTTTTTTGATTCCTCCCAGTTTTTCATCACAATGCTGAATTAGTTAATAAATAGGAGAACCCAAATGGCTTAATATATTCAGGTGACTATCTTTATAACTTTTATACCTTCTCTCCCAAAGCTAAGTTAGATTGAATTATTTGTTGTATGCAACCACCTTTCTTTCAATTCTTAACACCTTTTCTACTCTAGCATTATATGTTACACATGCAATAAGAACATATTCACATATAAAATATTCATACATAAAATATATGGATAACCTGCGTTATAATGACCATACTATACTACATGAATCCTTAGGACATATGGTTGCAACAAAGATGTTTGATCACCTGTGTTTTTCCCCATCACAGTTTAGCTATGGCAATCCTGAACTTCCTGAAGATGTCCTCGATGTCCAGCTGGCCTTCCTCCGACTTCTCTCCAGCCGGGCCTCCCAGAACATCACGTATCACTGCAAGAATAGCATTGCATACATGGATCATGCCAGTGGGAATGTAAAGAAAGCCTTGAGGCTGATGGGCTCAAATGAAGGTGAATTCAAGGCTGAAGGAAATAGCAAATTCACATACACAGTCCTGGAGGATGGTTGCACTGTAAGTAATAACATTTTTAAAGGCATGGACCATAATGATCTTAGCATTTCTAGTTTAATCATGCTATTTTGAAAAGAAAAAAAAAATAATGAGGGTGAACAAAAGTTAACATTTGGTGTGAGTTATGTAGGATCTACTGGTTCATTGCAGGGAATATTAAATACCACACACAAAAATATATATCTTCCCAACCTCCAGGTGAAACGAGTTGAAATGAAATAAGTAGAAATTTAAATTCATAATATAAACTTCTGGGTGGTTACTATACATTCTCCATAATAGCTATCATATGGACTCAATCTAAAATCTCTGCTTTCTCTTTAATTTTAAAGGTTAGCTTTAAATCTTTTCTTTGTTATTATCATTTATAAGCAAAGGGAGAATTCACTTCTAATACTAGCAAATTCCATCATGAGAGACTTATTCACTTTTTAGTAAACCAACCATATACCTGGTAGCAGTGACCAGACAGAACCAGACCTCCTGAAAATGGGCTGGCTATTGGCAATCTCTACTGAATGTACCTTAAAGCTCCATAATGCTTTTGGTTAACAGTATGGTTTATTAGGGTGCCTGGGTGGCTCAATCGGTTAAGCGTCCAACTTTTGATTTCTGCTTAGGTCATGATCTCAGGGTTGTGAGATCAAGCCCCATGTGGGGCTCCGCACTGGGGTAGAGCCTGCTTGAGATTCTCTCTCCCTCTCACACGACCCCTGCCCCCTCATGTGCACATGCTTTCTCTCTCAATCTCTAAAAAAGCCCAATATGGTTTATTATCTGGGATGATTATAACTTTAAAATGGAGGAGGTCTCATATGCATGGAAGATAGCATGGCAGGTTGGCAACACCCTTAGGGCACACTATGTTTTTAAACTTGGTCAGTCAGAGGAAGTGTCTAAGTAATTGTAATGTCATGATAGCTCACATTTTTTTCCTCTTTTTTACAGAAACACACTGGGGAATGGGGCAAAACAGTCTTCGAATATCGAACGCGCAAGGCCGTGAGACTACCTATTGTAGATATTGCACCCTATGATATTGGTGGTCCTGATCAAGAATTTGGTGTGGACATTGGCCCTGTTTGCTTTTTATAAATCAAACTCTATCTGAAACCCCAGCAAAAAATTTCACACTCCATATGTGTTCCTCTCATTCTAACCTTGTCAACCAGTACAAGTGACCAACTCAATTCCAGTTATTTATTTCCAAAAGTTTTGGAAAAAGTATAATTTGGCAAAAAAGGATTTTTTTTTTTGCTGTTACACCAAATACAGTTCAAATGCTTTTTGTTCTATTTTTTTACCAATTCCAATTTCAAAATGTCTCAATGGTGCTATAATAAATAAACTTCAACACTCTTACAATAACACTGTGTTATATTCTTTGAATCCTATCCCATTTGCAGAGCAATGACTAGGCTTACCATTAAAAGATAATCTTTCTTTCTGAAATAGTCAACATGAAATTAGAAAAGACCTCCCTGTTTCAACTACCTCAACCTGGTCAGAAATACAGATGAATTCTAGAAGTCCCGGAAGATGAAAAAATTTATATAATTGAACAATAATTTCCTAAAATATTGGTAAAAAGTATAGTACAAGAATTTGAAGAAACATTTTAAAATCTACAATTATTTTGATCTTGGATATCAACTGCTTTTAAAGGTGCTTTTCTCTTTTCTTGTCACTGCTGAAATTATCAAGATTACCGATATTTGGGAAGGCTTTAAAGACACATGTTATGGTGCTAATGTATTTTCACTTTAAAAACTCTAGGTCAGAATTGTTGCCTTATATTCAAAACATAAATGCACACCATCTGTACATGTCTCCTATCAAAAAAATTTATTGGTGTGTCACTTCGGGGAACTCTCTCCCTTGATCCTGTAAAAGTCAACAACAACAAAAAACAAATAATGGGTCTTCTTTTGTCACAGTTACACAGAGAATGTGTTGAAATTTAACTTTGTGAGCTTGTATGTGGTTGTTGATCTTTTTTTTTTTTCCTACAGACACCCATAATAAAATATCATAATAAAACATTCCTGGTTTCTGTCACTTTTAATAGATACAAGAAATGCATGTGTACACTCTAGAACTCTGGTGATCTTCTTGAAAAAAACATATTGAATTCTAACTGTCTAGCTTAATAATGCAATGACCTCAAGAATATGAGATAATAAGCTATGTTCAGAAGAGAGATAATGCTCAATGGGGAATCTTGAGGATTTTTAGATCATATTCAGTGAAAACTGAGGGCGTGCTCTTTGAGTCAATCCCTGGAAATAATAACATAGTAAATTCAGTTGTCCCCAAAAGGGAAGGAATCAGGGAGGAAGATGCCAGTAATTTATTGGAAGTAAGGAGGGTCTGGCAAAATAATTAAGAATAATTCAAGTCGAGGCTTTTCTACCGCTGCTACACACTGTCTCATTGCCCTCTTGGCCCTTTTCCACCTTCAAATTCTTATTCTTTTAGTTACTGTAAGTATGGTCTTGCACATCTGACTTTATAGTTTGAAGTTTGCTTACTCTGTATGGTTTATAACAATACTACTACTTTCCAAAATAAAAATTCTATCAGCCAAATGTCACGTCAAGACGTTCACTTACCCTCCATGTTAGAGGAAACCAGTGTTAACAGCTTCTTGTGCATCTTTCCAGAAATATTATATATACACATACACACATACAGAGATATGGAGAGACAGAGATAGAGAGACAGAAAGAAAGCAAGCCAATTTGCATTATGCCTTAAAATTAAATTACTTGGAGTTTTAAATTTAGGCATCTTCAAAGCCAGAAGTATTTTGGCCAAGTCTTCCTCACATTGCATCACACTGACAGTGGCTCTCCTGTCTCCCTCTTTCATTTATAAGGACCTTTATAATTACATTGGGTGCAACCGGACAATTTAGGATAATCTCCTCATCTCAAGGTCATTTGATGACCAACCTTAATTCTGTCTGCAACCTTTTACGCAAAATAGCATCTAGTGTCCCGTGTTATGATGATTTCACCAGGCTGCTTTTGGGGTATGATTTTGAATATGGCTCTGAAAGTGAGCCTTCTCTTCATATATGTTTATTGTATGAGCCTGGGTTCTATAGCTTTCTCTGAATTTCCCTGAAATTTAGACAAAATCTATAAATTACATTTCTACTTAAAACAGCCAATGTTCATTTAGGTGGTTTGTAACAAAGAATCCCGACTAGGCCAGCAACTGATAATAGCAGTAATGGCAGTGAGCAGAAATTCAGGAAAATGGAAAAACTCTGGGATCAAATATTATACTGGTTAGGGGTAAGCATAGGAAAATCCAATTTGCATTCAGAGATGAGAACTTGTCAGTCTGTGGAGATAGGGCTCACATCTGTGGTTGCCTGGAATGATTTGCAATGTGAAGCTAAGGCTGAAGAGGGTGAGTGACCTCTCCTATGCAACAGGATATTTAAATTTCATGAGAAATTGCAGGACAGCATGCAGGTGTGTCTGCTTTATTGCTGAGCCACAGGAAGAGAATGACAAGTTCAGATCCGTATCTTCTTGGCTCAACGTGCAGAAGGAAAGCTATGGCCTTTCCCTGACTGTGCTAAAATAAATATATTAACATGAAAAAACATATTTTAGAACTCATCTCTTTGCAAAGGTTTGAGATAACCAAAGAGCAAATATAAATCTTAATTTATTGCAGATCAGCAAACTTCAACATAAACCTAAATGGGTTTTCGAATTCTTTGTTTGATTGGTACATAACTAGGAAGTAATAGGACCCCAGAAATTTGCATGGGGTTTTTGAAAGAATTCTCTTCAAATATTCCTCTTTCACATTAAATTACTCTAGCCATTTAAAATAGGACCCTTTATTTCCTGCCTGCTGATATTTCTGCCTTTCTTGAAATGCAAGATGCCTGCAAGAAAAGACTAATTCTCCTCATACTTCACTCCCACCACTGCTTATTGTCTCCAGATTTATAACTAGAGTCAGATCCCAGAATGCATTGTGTAACAATTAAGAAGTCAATCTCAGAAGGAGGCTTACACATAAAAAGAATGAAAAAATTTCATTAAATAGTATTTTCTAAAATCTGGGCAATATGTGTGGAAGAATTGTGCAATTCAGGTTAGACAAAATTCACCAATATGTGAATGTTAATAGAAAATTCTAGAAAGGCTATATTATTAACATGGTTGGTTGACTGAACCAGGCCTCAGAGGCAGCGCAAATTAAATGAACAAATGATTTGAGACATTGCAAACATCCTGCCAGATAGAGAATTAAAGAAGAATTAAGATAGAAAAGTTGGAATGGCTTATCCTATGTGAGACATAACTTACCTTCTAACTATATTCTTAGGATGGAACACCAAGGTCTTAAGAAATACATAGTGAGATGTTGCCAGACCTTTGAAAACTTCCTTGGAAGTGTGTCTTTAGTCTAGAGATGGAAGTAGAAAAAAACCAGCTGAAATAAGCTTCTTGGTTTCATTGGAGATGACAGGAGTGGACAGAAGCCAAAAAGCATCTCTAGATCACTAGAAACAAAGTGAGAATAACTATAAGACACAACAGGGCTAGAATGGTTTTTAAAAAAAAAGGCCTAACTCAGAAATATCATATCTTTGGTGGTGGCTAATTAAGAAAGGGTCTACTATTTGGGTCCTGCTAGATGGGCTGACTGTAACAGCTGTACTTAGTTTTTCATAAACAATAATGACAAACAATTCTAGTGCTGGTAGAAAGAGAGCTTGGTTGAACAATCATACAGGATATGACTTTCCCCCCAGTTTCCAGACTATGAGACAGTTCATAGATCCTATACTCTGAATGAAGTTCAGAGCTTTGGAGGAAGTCTCCTACAGTAACAACATAACTGATGAGCCAAGCATTATTATTAATATGACCAAGCATTGTTCTAGTCACCTTAAACTTATTAATCCTATGAGGTACTATTATCTTCATTTCACCAAACAAACAAACAAATTATGAAAGACTAGGTAAATTGCCAAAGGTCACCTAGCTAGTAAGAAGTTAACATTTGGGGTTAAGATTTTAACCCAAACAATCTGAATTTAGAGCTGATACTTTAAGCCATGACAGCAAACAGTCTAAAAGTTACCATGTTAAGGATACATCCTCTTGCCAGTCATTAGAGTGTCATTAGTATCCCTAATATCTCCCCTGGACAATCTCAGCTATATCCAAAACTTCAGTCAACACTTTCACTGAGGATAACTCACAAATTTACATCTGTACTTTGTAGAACAAATGAACCATGTTTTCAATGGCCTAACTGAGACCCCCACTAAAATGTCTAAATGTCTTTCATGAAGCAAGCAATATGGAGATCTTGAAGAAGATCATACCAGACAGAGGGAAGAGCAATTGCAGAGGTATTGAGAGAGGGGTGTTCTTGGTGTGTTCAAGGAAGAACAAAGGGAGACTGATTGGAGCAGTTAGCATGTGGGAGAGTAGTACAAGAAAAGACCACCAAAAGAGACAGGGGGATAGATTGTATGGAGTCTTAGAGGAAGGGTGATCTTTGGTCTAGCTTTGCCTGGGAGAGCACTATTTATGGGTACTTTCTTGATGTCTCATGACATTCAGCATTTTAGAACTCTCTAAATATTCTGATTTTATGATATTAAATGGCCACCTGACTTTTATTTGGTCACTGTGAAGATCTTGGCCTTTGCTCTCAGTGAGATGAGAAGTCATTGAGCAAATGGACAGCATGATCTGGCTTAGAGTTTTAGAGTGTTGCTGTGGTTGCTCTTTTGAGATAATAGTGTAGCTTCCACCAGGATGGTAATAGTGGAAGTGATGAAAAGTAGTTGGGTTCTAGATAGATGTTGAATATAGAGGCAACAGGAATTGCTAATAATGTGGATGTGTGGTCTAAGAGAAAGGGAGATGTCAAGCATGAATCCAAAGCTTTCAGCCTGAGTAACTGGAAGAAAAGAGTTGGCAATATCTGAGATGGAGGAGACTGTCAAGGTTAAAGATTTTGAGGTGTTCAAGATTTCAGGCTGGGAAGGTTACATTGGGGATGCCTCGCAGTCACCTAAGTAGACTTGCTGAGATGGTGGTTAGACAAATCTAGAGGTCAGAGGAGAGATCCAGGCTAGAGAAACACACTTACGAGTTTCCGCATAGGCATGGCTTCTACATCCATGGAAGCAGATGCAATCATCAAGTAAGTGAGTGTAGAAAGAAAGGAGAAAGGGAAGAAGGACTGAACTCTGGGGTAGTCCAATATTTATAAGTTGGAGAAATGAAGAGGAAACAGCAAAGAAGATGGAGATGTAATGAAAGGAAACCAGAAAAGTACAATGACCCGGACAGCAAGTAGGAAAAAAGTTTGTTGTC